ACGCTTGATGGTGAGGTCATTATTGATCACTGAGGTCATCAGTTACTACTATTATTAGCTTAGAAAAAGTATTTGGAAGCAGAAGCCTGGCCCAGAGCCCCGCAGTGATGATGGGTCAGGCAAAAGAAACAAAGCTGTCCTGGGATTGTGTGGCATCACCTACATCGATTTACACTTGTGCCACACCTGGCTTCTCTACCCAGACTATTAAGATATGAGGAAAGAAAAGGGGAAAAGACAGAAAATATTGTTGGCAATATTTGCCTTGAGCCAAATACTGGACTCACTAAGGAATTTTTCTTAATTAAGCACTATTTTCTTGTCAGCTCTGAGAGCCTCAGAAACAGCACTGTTCAAGTTACACGAGTTGATTTCTTAGACCTGCTAGTGACCAAATATATAAAGTATTGTATGAAATTCCAGACTCAAGAAGATAATTGCCTGCAGCCACAGTCATCATATTTCATTCAATAAGTGAATCTTTACCGGGAACACTGAGCAGGGGAACACACTGTGCTTCTCAGCCCACAACAGCATTGCACACAGCACGTAAGTCCTCTCACCACTGTGCCCTGGGACAGGACACTGTAGCAAAATCAGGACAAGCCCTGCATTAGAAAATCACTACCAAAATCTAACTCAGCATCTGCCTTGTCCCAAGCTCCAGCCACTAACCCAACAGTCTACGATGCAGAAATGAATGGGATGACTCAAACTGATATCTGGTGCCTGCATGTTAATCCCCTCCCTTAATAAACTGCCTTTATTAGTTTAGCAATCTAAAAATAACTGGCTGCATGATAGTGACCAATTCTAATCAAAACATCTGCCAGCCCATCTAGCCTGAGCTACCCTTTAGATCATGTGCCACCACTTCAAAGCCTGTGCATCAAGTCAGTAATTGTAACATTGCATCTAAATATTTAAGCTAGGGGCTGGTAGTCGCGTGTCCCATTTACAGTCAGCATCTGTCCTCTAATTCCATTACAGTACAAAGCAAAAATGTTTCCCAAAACTCACAAACAGGAAAAGCATCACACAGCTAGAGAGGCAGCAGCAGCTTGAACTTTCGAGCTGCTGAGCAGGGCTTTTGTGCTAAGGTCCTTTTTCTTTCTCCCCCTTCAAACTCCCCACATACACACACTAAAATAGGGGTGGTGCTGAAATTGTATTAATGTGAGCCTCAGGCACTCAGAAAAAAAGAAAAGAGGAAGGGGAGGGAGAGGGGGGAAGGGTTTGGTCCAAGATGAAAGTAAGAAGAAAATAAAGGAGGCAATTTAGTCTGCTGTAGCCTGAATTGCTCTCAGTACAGCCAAGGGTAGAGGCTCGGGATGAGTAGGGCCCTTTTTGGACGGGTGCGCATGACTGGGGGAGGATCCGCCAGGACAGGGCCCGGGGGCCAATTCCGCTGGCTGGGAACAGAGGCCCCCTTTGAGGCCGGGCGGGGGGGTCCCGGCCCCGGCCCCAGCCCCAGCCCCAGCCCCAGCCCCAGCCCGCACCGCCCGCTCACAGCGGCCCGAGGACCAGCTCTACACCCCATCACTGGAGTGCTGAAAGCCACTGGTTTCTGCCAGAAAACAACAGCTATTTTATGAAGGGGGGAGTTATCAGATTAGTCAGCAAACCAAACCACACATAACTCCCACCAAAGGTACAAGCGACTCCCTCTTCTGTAGCGGTTATGCTAAAAATAAGCCCTGATGTGCCATATAAAGGCACAAAACTTTCTCTCTCATGTTCTTTATTTATGGCTTGTGCCTTTAAGAGAAAATTATCACGCATGCAGAAATACAGATGTGCTATTGTAGAACTACCAGCTTCCTGATACATACACACTGTGACAGTCAAGGTTTTCTTTAAATATATACTCAAAATCAGGGTTGAGGGTGATGAAAACAGAAATGCTGAAATACAGCACGTACAGGGCTGCACGTGTGGCATCTGTAAACCCCGGTGAGAGAATCATATTTAAGTGTCTGCAAAGAGGCTGGAACAGACTCACACGGGGCATACCAAAGTTTACCTACACTTATATATGTGGTGGGAAAAACACATTTTTCAAAAATATCATGTTTCTGTATTCTCTAATCCCACTCTGCTGTAAGTGCTCTCTAAATCTTGAATTAGCTACCATTAAAATGACAATTGTCATCCCTGCCCTCAGAAAAAATGCCACTCCTTGAGCCACCCAAAGGTCCACGGTGAGGAGGGGATTTCAGGCAGTGCCAGCAAACATCCAGTACTTATGTGTGCTCCTGAGCAGAAGAGCAATACTTTGCTCTGTGCTCAGCCTCAGGACTTGCTTTCTGATCTATCCCACAGCCTTCCCTTGCACCCATGCTCTGGGATACCTCAAGCTCCTGAGACCAGAGCTATAAAAATTCCACATACTGCAAAAGATTCACACTTTTCTCCCTCCGTAATGTGGAGCACTCAATGCTGAGCTACCACACGAGGGTTTTGCTGCACAGCCCGTGGATAACCTTTGGAAACACTGCAAGCAACCCGAGTATTGGAAAGGGCATCTGAGATGCGCTGCCAGCGGGCACCCTCGGCCACACCAGGCCTCATAGCCAGGCTAGTGGGCACTGGCAAATATGATCCTGTAGCATCAAAATCCTTAGGAGCACTGCCAGGTATTTCAATAAGAGGGCAGGATGATTTTTATAGATGGGGTGAAATTGAAGCTTCTCAGCTGGCAGTGGGCATTGAAGCAGAACCTTTTTTTGTTGATTGGATACAGAAAGTAGTGGCAGACTTCTTTTATGGTTATTTTTTTCATGTAATGATCTCACTAGTGTGTTGTCCCTATGGTATTACAATACACGTAAGGCACAAGTATGGCAATACATCTTTTCTGGAGCAGCAGAACGCTCACACTGCAGCATCCTGGCCACTCCAGTAATGAGATTAAGCAACAGCTTGCTAGTCAGGGAGGGGGAGCAAGCATTGCTGTGGGAAAGAGCACGCTCTCCCTCAAACTGCCAAACCTTCCCAGGCACTGTCACAGAACAGACAGGATTATCAAAGCTGCTGTTTCCACGGAACTGTCCGGTCACGTTCATGCAGAAAAAAACTGCTTGCCCAGGGCAGGGTAGGGCTACACTACCCCTTTTAATCAAGGGAAATTTGCTACTGATCAAACTCAAAAGAGGCAAAGTAAGACATTCACATCCACAGGTAGTGAAGGAGAAGATACATTCAGGGACAGAATGCAGCCTTCTCGTACAACTGGGAGGCAAGAGTGAGCCCCTGTTCACAACAAGGCATCACTGACTTCCCTGCAAGAAAAAATTTTGGGATTCCATTGGGCTGGCAGGAAGCAGCCATGCACCCATATATAATAGATCAGGAGCCCCCCTTTAAAGTGCAGAGAGTCAAAGAAGAGGAAGATTGTTTCAAAGACAAACAGGGATGGGTTATATTGATAACAAAATTTTTTCTCTTGTTGTCTCTATTAATTACTCTTTGTTCCATGAAGTAATAATATTATCAAAGCTCACTATCTTCTGTTTCTAATCTCTATCAAGAAATTCAGGAAGGCAGCAAAACCAGTTATCTAACAAGTAGGACACTGAATTTAGCTATTTTTCCCTTGATTCACATCCCCCTTGGAGCGATCCTCTGTTGAAGGAGACACTGGAGGAAACTCTGAACCTATCCTGTGGGGGCAGCTAGACCAGGCAATTAAATTGTGTCTTCTGGCCTTAAAAATCTTGTATTTAGTTTTCATCTTCTGCATGTTTGTATTACACATATCCACGCAAACACAGACACACAGAAGATGAAGTTTCTTAAGAATTTTAATAACAGAGTTGAAAACTATATTTTGGGAGAGTTTAGGGGTTTGTTTCTAAAAAACAAGGACATTTCCTACTGTTAAAGAATGGGTTCCAGTTGTCCTTGGATGGCACCAGCATCTCAGATGCCTAGAAATGCTAGAAACACTTTCTGCCTAAAAAGAGCTATTTTTTTTCCACGATGGAGAGTCCATAAAACTGCGTGGAGCATCAGCTATTAGGGGCTCATTGAATAATTCATCCCTCATTGCAAGCCCATAATGTCTTTTCTCAGCCTTTTGTGGGGCTGTTTTCTCTTCTTTTCTCCTTGAATTATAAAAAGGTTGCCTTCTTTTGTTCACATCAAGCTGCTGCTAGCTGAAGCTTTGTCTGTGTAAAGCCAAAGTGTGAGTTTCAATGGACTCCCCCCTCTTTGTTTTCCAAGTTCATCTCCAAGTGTAGATTGTGTATAGAAGGCCTTCTTTGTAAAAGCTGGAAAAGTTGTACAAATGTTTGACCAGCTCATTTGGTACTTTTGTCTCGCCTTCTCCAGTGCCTGTGCATGTGCTGGGCAGCGACTTCCACACAGAGGCCGCCGGCCGGGCCCTGCCCTGCCCCTGCACCCTGGCCCAGCCAGGAGCCGGGCATGGCCGCGACGGGGCAGCAGCTGTCCCCCCGGAGCAGCCCTTCACCTCCGCCTTGTTCAGGTTGCAACCTCCTCACAGCCCCTGGCCAAGCACCAACACATGCTCTTCCCAGCAGTTTTAGCAGCAGAAAAAACAAAACGTGCGGCTCCCTGCCCTGTTCACGACTGTAGAGACTCGAGGCTCCGCAGTCTTTGGCTACAACTGCCCCTTCTATGCAGCTGTGGCCTTTTCCTTGGCTTGGGAAAGGAGCCCCTGCATGGCTGCGACTGGGGAGCTCTGTGGTGGCTCCAACACTCCCTGCTCCCTGGTTACTGAAAGCCAAACTCGCATTGACTCCCATCTTCGTTCCCACCTCCGCGCCATTACTGCACACTGTCGGGTCGTTCCAGCGGGGGAACGGGATGCGACGGGACGTGGCAGCCATGCCATTAGGGCTAGCCCCTCGCCCTACACCTCCCGCTGCACTGGCCCCGGGACAACCTCCGAGAGAAGGGGAATGATACCGACCAGCATCTGGGACTGGTACTACCCCATCCCAGGACCCTACGGAGAGCAGGGGGAAATGGGACTTTACCTCTTTCACTGAGGATGCCATCAATGCTGTGCTTGGCCTTCTTGTCGCCGTCCTCCACCTCCTTCCTTTCCAGTTCAGCCTCCTCTTCCTCACCTTTCCCGAACTTGCTCCGCAGGATGCGGCTGATGGAGCTCACTTTGGGGGGGAGTGCAGAGCTGTGAGCGGCTCGTCCCCAGAAGCCCCCCCCCGCGGCGGTCGAGCCGAGCCGGGGAGCCGAGCCCCCAGTCAGAGCCACTGCCCGCGCCCCGCAGCCGCCATCAGTCGGGGCATTGGGGAGGCAGCGGCCCGCTCCCCTCCCCGCGAGGTTTCAGGAGGCATCGTCCCGCACCGGATTCCAGGGCGGGCACAGCGGCTCTGAAGTATCTTTTTTTTTTTTTTTCCCGAGCCCGGGTGGTGGATGATAAGAAAAGGTCGCGGACACCCGCACAAATACTGCTTCGGCTCCATGTGCCCCCCCGCCCCATCCCACAAGTCATCCACCGGCACAGGGAGCTGTTCCCCATCTCCTACTTCCCAGCTCCCCGACTCCGGCAAGACACAAGCCCTCCTGCGGCAGCAGCCCGGCGGGGACGGCGGGGAAGCGTCAGGAGGAGGAGGGGAGGAGAATGAAATTACAATTTAATTGAAAACACCCCGTCGAGCACAGGAATCCTCCCAGGACATGCCAGCCGCTCCGTGGGCACTGGCCCGGCCCGGGGCTCCGATCCCGGGGAGTCGGGGTTCACCCGGGTATCGGGCTGCCCCCCCACCCCCGGGCTGCCCCCGACCCTCCGGGACGCGTCCGAGCCCCCCGCCCCGTACCTGACGGCACCGTGTTGCGGTCACACACCCCGTCCTTCAGCAGCTTGTCCCGGATCTCCCAGCTGAACATGCCCGCGTTTTCCCGCTTGTATTCCTCGATTTTCTTCTCAACATCCGGCGTCGTCACCTGCTTCAGTAAAGACAAGGCGAGCGGGCACAGTCTGTAGGGTCAGAGGCGGTCGGGGGAGCCCGGTGTGCCCCGCCGGGACCCCCGGTGCGGCCGGGGCCTCCCGCGCCACCGCCAGCGAAAGCCGACACCGGCCCCGCTTAGAAACCCCATTATAAAACACCCGAGGACGGGCAGGGTAAAATCAGAGGGGACACAGAAGGTAATAACGGGCCCGCATAAGACAAGCAGTCCTCGCGTTAAACGAAACGTCGCAGGAAGTCTTCCGGGGCTACTGGGAAGGTGGGACCGAGCCCTCGGCACGGAAAACCCCGAATTAGGCAGCACTGGCTGCCGTGCGTCCGAGCCGAAAGTCCCGGGTAAATTCTGGGTCGCGATTAGCAGAGGACTTCGGGCAGCGAAGCCCCAGCTTAGTAAAGTTTCGACTCAACAAAGGTTGCAGCGCCGAACAAAAAAACAGCATAATAAAAAAATCGGAGAGGTTCGAGTACCGAAAGGTTCCTTCGGTGGCCTCGTGGTTTTAAGATAAAGCTAAAATCAAACAAAAGAACGGTCTCTGGTCTGGGAACAACCTTATGTTCGGATAACACGCTTATAAAAAATTACATCTACTGCCAACACCGAAAGGAAAAGTTCGGGCATTACTACTTTAGAAGAAACAAAGGGGGAAAAAATCTAGCAACAATTTCCAACAGAAACATAAGCCTTTACTGTAATGGGAATGAAAAGCTAGAGGAGAAGGCTAATCTTGGGACAAGAATTCGTCTGCATTATTGCGAGCACAAACTTTTCGGCGGTGTGGCTATAAATACACGTAGCTTTAGAGCGGGGAGAAAAAGTAAACAGAACAAGAGAAGGAGCGGTAGGGAGACAGACAGAAATACAGGTCGTTTTGTTGCGCTTTGCACCGAAAGTAGGAAGGGCACGATCCCGCCGCGCTGTGCCAGCCCTTCACCGGACCGATCGCGTCCCGGTCCGTCCCGCAGTGCCGAGCCCTCCAGTGGTCCTGCGGGGATGAGTGTAGGGCATGCGGGGCTTTGGGCAGCCAAGCGCTCAAAATAACACCCTTTTCGCCCTAGTTTCGTTTGAGATTTTTTTTTTAATAGAGTTTTCTTAATTAAAGTATCTAATTTCCGCGAACTCCAACGACATTTTCTAAAACCTCGGAAAGTTTGTGAGCAACAGGCAGGGACATGGCAAGGGTGCTGTGCCCCATGCGTGTCTATGCCCACCCCTGGCCCTCCCGGTGCTGCCATCCCGCCTGCAAACCCCAGTGCCGGCCAGTCTGGGCCGTGTCCCAGTCGGGCCTCGCTCCCCTCCACCGCGGCCGGGGTTTGCCCGGCTCCGGGCGGGCAGGAGGGGCTCACCTTGGGCTTGCTGCCGCCGATGGCCCCCGGCCGGATGGAGCCCGTCTCCTGGTACCTGCAGAGAATTTTGGAGACGCAGCCGTGGGACACTCGCAGCTGGCGGGAGATGACACAGGGCCTTATGCCATGGTGGGCCATCTCCACTATCTTGTGCCGGATATGGTTGGGTAAAGGCCTGCCATTGATAAACACTCCTCCGAGCTGATTGACTCTGCCCTGGCCTAGAGGGGTAGAGACTAGAAAAGGAGGGAGGGGAGGCAGGGGAGTAAACGGCGTTAACGTCTTCTTCGGATCCTGCTGCGTCTTTTTTTGTTGTTGTTGTTACTGGGTTTTTTGTCGTTACTTTTCTATAAAGCAACTCTCTCCCGCCCGCCCCGCCGCCCCGCAGCGCGCCCGGGGCCCGCAGCTCCCGCGGAGCCCCCGCCACCACCCCGGCGGGCAGGGAAGGGCGGCGGGCACATACAGGCTTCACCTGTTGCACTCGCGCCCGAGCTGGCTTTCAAAGCCCGCCCGACTCCAGCGGAGAAGGGGGAAGAGATGCGGGAAGGCCGCGGTGTCCCCGGCGGCGCGGTGGGAGCCGCCGCACCGCCCGTCCTCCCTCGGGCACGGCCTGAGGGTCCCCGGCACTGCGCGGCCCTCGCACCGTCACTGCCGCGGGGAAGAGCGGCCACTCGCAGCAGCCCGGCCCGCCTGGGACATGTCCACGGTTCTAAAGTTCCTTTCGATTTCGTTCACATGGCTTTTATTTGAGTTTAATTATTTTTTCTAACTTCGCCCTTACTTTTTCTCAAACTTTGGGCTCCCCAAACCACCGCCCTTTCACTCCGCTGAAGAGAGGACTCAGGGCCCGCTGCGCTGCCGACCTCCCTGTCGGTTCCTCCCGCTCCCGGGATGGGCTGCTCTCAGTGAGCGAGGATGGAGCCGCCGGCCCGCAGCGGCCCAAGCCCTGCCCGTCCTGGGAAAAATCCCTGCCCTGACAGCCCGGGGGAAACCAGGCGGCTGTTCTGGAGTCCTCCGTGCGCCGGTTCTGGCGGGCCGGGGGATCCGCTTTGTCCCAGAGTCCCGGCACGGAGCGCTTCTCCCTTTCCCGACCGGGAGCAGCCCGAGCGCGGCCTTACCTTCCAGCGGGAACCCGCTGCGGGGGTAGTTCTGCCCGGCCCCGGGGCGCATCATCCTGGGGACAGCTCCGGCCAGAGTTGTCATCGCGGCGGCAGCGGCCGACAGGGTTATATCCAGGTGAGGGCTGATCTAGGGGAGACCCGCGCTGTCAGCGGGCCCCGCCGAATCAGGAGCGGTCCCAGAGGGGGTGGGGGATGCCGCCGAGGGGCGGGGAGGAGGCAGCTCCGCCACTGCCCCTTTGTCAGTGACCCGCGCTGCCCCGCACCGGGAGGGCAGGGGCCGGGCCGGAGCCCCGCAGGGTGGCGCGGCTGGGCGCGGGGGGGGCGGGCTGGCGGGGCGGGGGGCGGCGGCGCGGTGCCCAGCGCGGTGCCCGGTGCGGCGGGAGCGGCGGCCGCGGGGCCGGGACCATTTATCGGCTCCGTGCCCGGCGCGGCTCCGCCGCGGCGCCGCCGCGATTGGCCCGGCCCGGCCGCGCCGCCCCCGCTGATTGGGCGAGCGGGGCGGCTCTCCCGCATCGCCCCGGCCCGCGGCTCCCTCACACCGGCACCGCGCGGCCCGGCCCGGCTCGGTTCGGCCCCGGCACCCCACGGCCCGGCCCGGCTCGGTTCGGTTCGACACGGCACGGCAAGACACATCCCGCGCTGACCCCACTGCCAGAGCCGTGCTGGGCCCTCTCGCCGCAAGCAAAGCGCAGCCGGCGACGGGGAATCTATTCGGTGCCCCCCGACGGCCGCCCCGGATCGCAGAGAGAAGCATCAGCCGGGGCGGCCCGGACATCGCATCTCTCAGGACCCCGTGTCACTGCGGGACTCCCGCAGGGACAGCGCCCGCCTCGCTGCCGTGAAGCGCTTTTTCTCCTGGCTCCGCTCCCCGAGCACCAGTGGTGGCGGGGCGGGGGAACAACCTCCCTGTTTTTTTCATTTTAAGGAAAAAATGCTTCTTCCCTCATTCTTTCTTTCTACTCATTTACTTTGAACCGAAATCTCTCGCGTCCAGAAGAAGCATCTCTGGAACAGACGGTGCTCACGGTTTTGAAAGAAAGAGCTATCAGTGAGATGTCCGGGGGGATATCTGCTTTTAAAAACCGATGGGACAAGAGTGTGTCTGCGTTTCACGCGTGTGCGTGAGCGCTTATATGCGGGAGTGTATGGGTGCGAGGCGGTGCGTGTTAAAGTCTTACTAACAAGCATTTGTTCCCAGGAATTTATTGTAGTATTCAAACTAAACTGCTGGAAAAATAAAAGAGGTAAAGTCTGCCTCGGAGCTGGAGTGCCCACAGCAGGATATGACGCCAGGAGTGTTGTAAAGACTGTCTGTCCTTAGAGAAGGTACCATTGTGCACGGCCTTTTATTTATAACTTGGTAAGTGCCAGCAAACTCGCCTCCTTTACACTCCGAAGTGCCAGCCCAGCTTTCCACAGGGCTCTTTATTTGCAATCGTCTATTCAAGAACTGTCACTCCCGAACTTCAAGTTATTCAAGACATTAATCAATCAAAAGGATGGGAATCGCTCAGGTTTCCTCCTTTAAAATGAGGGGGGGAAATGTTTTCTGTGCTCCCAGTCCGCGTTCCCTTAACGAGCCGAACGGTGGTTGCGGGGCCGGTGCTGGTCCCAGGGAGGGCGGGGGTTCCCGTTATTTAGGCAGAAATCCGGAGCCGCAGTTGTAAAAGAACCGGCCGCTGAGGGACCGGCAGCAGCACGGCGGGGACAGCGGCCCCCGGGGAAATTCGGAGTCTCCGTCGCGCTCCGCTCTGCAATGGGGGGCTCGGGGCCCGCAGAACAACCGGCACTCACCGCACACCGGGGAGGCCTCTGGTCCGTGGTCCCACTCTCTCCAGACCCCCACCCCGGCCACCAAACCGAGCGGTTTCTCTCGCTTTTTAAACGCACACAAATAATCCCTAATGCCGGGTGCTGCCCGGGAACGCTCCCGCACCCCAAGGAACGGGCTGACAGGAAAAGTTCGCACGCAGTAAAAGTCAGCGTGTATTTCACAAAGCGTTTGTGTTCTACAAACACCCCGATGGCCGGAGCTTTGAGAAAACTGTTAGCCAGCCCTGTGGAAACCCAGCCCCGTGAGACCCGCGCCGAACCGGACGGCGGAGCGCCGGCGGCGGCCGGGGGAGCGCCGGCGGAGCGGCGGCCGGAGCCTTGGGCACTCTCCGCCGCTCCACAGACCGTCCGACGGCGCCGCGCCACTCGCCACGCGTCTTTTACTGGAGAAAGGAAGGCGGTAGAAGTGTTATTAGAAAAAGAGACGAAACTACTTATGGTTTAATTCGCGCTTGGGAACCCCGCGGCGGGGAGCAGGGCCGCACGAAGTGCACTCGGTGCCAACAGCGTCCCCGTGGCCGCCCCTCTCCCCACCGGTACTACGGCTCCGAGAGTGGGAGCAGAAACCCTTCCATCGTGATGCTCGGGTCGTAACCCTCGTCCATGCGAGGAGGGGCACGAACGGGGACTGCCCCGACTCCTCACCCGCAGAGGAGGAGGAGCGGAGCCCCTCACCCCGGCAGGAAAACCGGCCTGGGCAGTGTCTCAGCTGCTTTCCCCCCTTCTTTAACGACGCGCCTTCGTGTGAGTGCCGCCTATATTTGCGTGGGCCCAGAGTTGTGCCCGGGGCAGCCCTGGCAAGCCCATCCCGGTGCCAGGAACCGTTTCGGGAGCTCCGTAGCCGCCGGAGCTCCTGGGGCAGGGGACACGGCTGGCGGCTCCAACAGCAGCTCCAACTCCCGCTCCGCGTCCGGCCCCGTGGGGCTGCCGTGGATCCCGCCGTCCCAGCGCCTCCCCGCAGTCCCAAAGCTCAGCTCCGCTCCCCTAAGACAGGCTCTTGGGCCGGGCTCGCGTGGAAGGGAGGGGAAAGCGATGTTGAAACCCACCTAGTCTCGCCCTCGCGGTCCTGTGCTACCAGACACCGAGTGGCCCGCGATGAAACAGCCTCATCTTCCCGCACGGGAACTGTGAAAAATTCAAGGCAAAAAGATTAGGCACGAATGCCTGGCCCCGCTCCTCCCTCCCCTCCGCGCCCCCACCCCCATATTACAGTCCTTTAGGCCAGCAGAGATGATTTCACGGTTTTCCAGTGGAAATAGCTAAAAACGCTTCTGCTAATTACAGAGCTCTTCCAGGCCAGGTGCACTTTTAATTGGATTAGTAAGTGCTCTATATTAAACCTGCAGCACATCAAATGGACGGTGAAAATTAGAGCTATTAAGAACACAGGCAATCATTTCTGAATGATAAACAGTGTTGGTCTCCCCTCTATTAGAAATAAATCAATTACAACTGTTTCCGACTTTTCGTGCACAAATTCATTTCTGATAAGGATTTCGAAGCGAATTCCCCGGATATTTCCAAGGGATGTGAAGTGTAGAGGAGTCTACAGTCTGGTATATAGAAACGTGTACAAAAAGGAAAGGAAAGGAAAGGAAAGGAAAGGAAAGGAAAGGAAAGGAAAGGAAAGGAAAGGAAAGGAAAGGAAAGGAAAGGAAAGGATGGAAGGTAGAAAGAGAGAAAGAAAGAAAGAAAGAAAGAAAGAAAGAAAGAAAGAAAGAAAGAAAGAAAGAAAGAAAAAGAAAGAAAGAAAAAGAAAGAAAGAGAGAAAGAAAGAGAAAGACCAGAAAAACCGAAAGAATGAATGAAAGAAAGACAAGAGTGGCATAACTAGTGTGTTTGGGCGCCTGTAACTGCTGATTCGTGCTCCAGGCTGCCTTCGCCATAAACACCTTAAAAAGAAACCTCTGGGTTTGGGTCTCCGGCCTTGGGCTCCCTCGGGGCTGCTCGGTCCAGCTTCACCTCCTCCCTGACGGCTCTCGCTTCACACAGGTTTCCCACCTTCTCCCCCTCCCCCGGAGCGAGCGGGTTTGTGCGTTTGGGGCACCCGGGCCCACCCGATCACGGCCTCCCAGACAGGGCAGAGAGCCGCTGCCCGCCGGTGAGGGGTGGAGGAGCGTGTGCCCGGCGGGATGGGGACCTGGGGGTGCGGGGCTGGGGCTGTGAAGTTCCAGCAACCGCTGTCCCGCCCCGAGCGTGTCCTCCGCGTTAGGAAGGTCTATCCGTGCTGTAAGCCTGACATGGGGGTCGGGAGCGCTGCCACGGACCAGAGGCGTATTAAGCCAAACTGGTATCGCCGTGTTCGGACGAGAGTGACCGACGTAGGACGGCGAGTTGTAAAACGCCACAGAACAGAAACTTCAATACTGTTCGAGTAATTTGAGGTTAGTGTAATTTGAAAGGCTGTTAAATCCCCTGCTTCTAGAGAGGACGCCACGGGACATGTGGCGGCGGGGCGCGGGGGTGGGGGAGCGGGGCTAGGAGGGAGGCGGTAGGTGGTGACATCCCGTGGTACCTCGCCGGCGGCCACACTGGAGAAGCCACCGGTTACAGCGACAGACACTCCGTACAGCCCGGTCACCTCCTCAGAAAGAGGCTCCGCGAATGAGCCCTCCCAGGAAAGCCCCTCCGCGTCGTATTTTCGCACATCGCCCCCCCTCCTCATATATGGTCCCTGAGGTGTTCGGGGACATTACCCATCGAGTCGGGGCTGTGAGGGAGCCCCGGGGCAGCCGGCTGGAAAGCACCGCCCCGGCGGCGGGAAGCGGTGGTGGGACGTGCGGGGTTCGCCTGGATCCCGGGCGAACTGAGAGGTTCGGGGGGAACCGAATCACACCGCTGGGATTAGAAGGGAAAGTACCCGCTGGACGTCTCCCCCGGCCCACCGAACACCTCGCCGTCCGAGCCCTCAGAAGCCTTCGCCCCGGAGGAGCCCGGGCCGAGGGCCGGTGCCCCGGGAAGGCCTGGGCTGGCAGTGGAGCGGACAGAAGTGTGCCCTCCGCCCGGCTCCTGGGCCCAACCAAGCCTTAGCAATATTTCGAGACAAGTAGCTTTAAGATTAATTATTTTAAGGCGCTTTTTTTTTTGCTTTTTTTTTTTTTTTTTTTTTTTTTTTTTTTTTTTTTTTTTTTTTTTTTTTTAGTGGCAGAAACATAATACTATTTGGCGAAAAAAGAAATTACCAGCAAAGGGCCGGGGAGATTAACATTTGGAAACTTATGAAATGTAATCTGCATATCCAATTGATTCCCAGCATATCAGTTGAAAGGATAAAGATGTGTATCTCCATGATGGATATTGCATTAATAGGCACATAAATAAAGGTTGAAAAGTCATCACTGA